TCTTTTTTTTTTTTCTGAGACAGGGTTTCTCTGTGTACCTTTGCACCTTTCCTGGAACTCACGCTGTAGACCAGGCTGGCCTCAAACTCACAGAGATCCACCTGGCTCTGCCTCCCGAGTGCTGGGATTAAAGGCGTGCGCCACTACCACCTACCACCTGGTGTGTTGCTTTCATTGGTTGATAATAAAGCTGTTTGGCCAAAGGTGAGACAGGATATGTTTAGGCGGTACAGTCAAACTGAGGACTGAGATGAAGAAGGGTGGAGTCTGGGCAGACACAAGAGTTGCTCAAGAAGCAGGATGCTAAAGGACCTGTAAGCCACAAACTACAAGGTGATATATTGATTAATAGTAACGGGTTAGTTTAAATATAAGATGTAGTTACTAATAAGCCTGAGCCATCAGCCAAGGCCAAGCACTTATAATTAATATAAGCCTCTGAGTAATTATTTGGAAGTCTCTGCAGGATGGGGTAAGACAGAGAAACTCTGTTTACATTTTTTCTTCAAAGACTTAGAAATTTGTCATACAAATATTTTACTTGCTTGGTTAGGGTCACCCCAGATATTTCATGCTGTTTTTGGCTATTGTGAAGTGTGTTATTTCCCGACTTTCATCTTCAGTCATCTATTTGTCATTTGTATACAGGAAGGTTACTGATTTTTTTGAGTTAATATTGTATCCAGGCACTTTTCTGAAGGTGTTTATCAGCTGTATGAGTTCCCTAGTAGAATTTTGGGGGTTGCTTATGTATACTATTTTATTATATGCAAATAAAGATACTTTGACTTCTTCCTTTCTAATTTGTTTCCCCTTGATCTCTTTCAGTTGTCTTATTGCTCTAGCCAGAACTTCAAGTACTATATTGAATAGATAAGGAGAGAGTGCACAGACTTGTCTTGTTCTTGATTTTATTTAAACTGCTTTGAGTTACTCTCCATTTCATTTAATGTTAGCTGTGGTATTGAAGTAAACTGTATATATGATGTGTAGTTATGTCCATTCTATCTCTAATATCTCCAAGACTTTTATCATGAATAGGTGTTGGATTTTGTCAAAGGCTTTTATGGCATCTAATGATATGATCATGTGTTTTTTCCCTCAATTTGTTTATATGGTGGATTACATTGAATGATTTTCATATGTTGAGCCACAATTCTGTATCTCTGGAATGAAACCTACTGGATCATGATCCATGATCTTTTTGATGTGTTCTTGGATTTGGTTTGTGAGTATTTTGTTGAGTATTATTGCATCTATGTTTATAAGTGAAATTGGTCTCTTTCTTTGTTGAATCTTTGTGTAGTTTGGGTATCAAGGTGACTGTTACGTCATAAAATGAATTTGGCAATGTTCCTTCCATTTCTATTTTGTAGACTAATTTGAGAAGTACTAATGTTAGCTCTTTGAAAATGTGGTAGAATTTTTCACTAAAACCATTTGGCCCTGGGATTTTTTTTTTTTTTTTTTGGTTGGGAGATTCAATGACTGCTTCTGTTTCTTTAAGGATTATTAATCTATTTAAAATGTTTATCTGATCTTGATTTAACTTTGGTAAGTAGGATTAATTAAGAAAATTATCATTTAAAAAAAATTTCCAACTTTGTTGAGTACAGATTTTTAAATCTGATCTGAAGAATATTTTCACTTCCTAGGTGTCTGTTTTTTGTCTCTCTTTTTGTTTCTGATTTTTAAAATTTGGATATTCTCTCTCCTTCTTTTAGCTAGTTTCAGTAAGGGTTTGTCTATTTTGTGATTTTTTTTCAAAGAATCCAATTTTTGTTTTATTGATTATATTGTTTTCTTTGTTTCTATTTTATTTATTTCAGCTCACAGATTTATTATTTCTTTCCAACTACTCCTCTTGGGGGTGTTTACTTCTTTTTGTTCTAAAGCTTTCAGGTGTGCTGTTAAATTACTAGTATGAGAGCTCTCCATTTTATTTTAAATGTGGTCACTTTGTGCTACAAAGTTTCCTCTTAGCACTACTTTCATTGTATCCCATAGGCTTGGGATGTTTTGCATTTATTTTCATTTAATTCTAGAAAAAACTTTAATTTATTTCTTATTTGTTTTGACCTAGTAGTCATTCAGTACAGAGTTTTCCATTTTCCATGAGTTTGTAGGCTTTCTGCTGTTTCTGTTGTTGTTGAAATGAAGTTTTATTCCATGGTGGTCTGATAGGATGCAGAGGGTTATTTCAGTTTTCTTGTATCTGTTGACACTTGCTTTGTGACTGATTATGTGGTCAATTTTAAAGAAAGATTCATGAGGTGGTAAGAAGAAGGTATTTTTATTTTTTGGCTGTTTGGGTAAAATATTTGGTAGATATCTGTTAGGTACATTTAAGTCATAACATCTGTTAGCTCCATTATTTCTCTGTTTACTTTTTTGGTTTTTTGAGACAGGGTTTCTCTGTGTAGTTTTGGTGCCTGTTCTGGATCTCACTCTGTAGACCAGGTTGGCCTCGAACTCACAGAGATCCGCCTGGCTCTGCCTCCCAAGTGCTGGGATTAAAGGCTTGTGCTACCGCCACCCAGCTCTCTGTTTACTTTTTATCTGGATGATCTGTTAATTATTGAGAGTAGGATATTGAAGTCTCCTACTATCAATGTGTGAGAGTCACTATGTGACTTAAGCTTTAATAATGCTTCTTTTATAAATGTTTGTGTTGTGACCTTTGTGTTCAGGGCATAGATGTTTAGAATTTAAAAGTCATCTTGGTAGATTTTTCCTTTGATGGGTATAAAGTGTCCTTCCCTGTCTCTTTTCATTAATTTTGATTTGAAGTTTATTTTTGCTAGATTTTTGAATTGCTATATCAGCTTGACTCTTAGTTTCATTTATTTGGAAAAAGTTTTCCAACTCTTTAAGGTAATGTCTATTTTTGATGTTGAGGTATGTTTTGTGTATGAAATAGAAGGTTGGATCCTGTTTTTGTATCTATTCTGTTAGTCTGTGTCTCTTTATTGGGGAAGTGAATTCATTGATATTGAGAGATATCGGTGACCAAGGATTTTGTTGGTGGTCGTGGTGGTGGCGGCGGCGGCGGGTGTGTGTGTGTGTGTGTGTGTACTTTTCTTTTTTGGCTTTGCTTGTATGGGACTATTTACTTTCTGTGTTTTCATGTAGCAAACCTCCTTGGGTTAGGGTTTTCCTTCTAGTATCATCTGGATTTGTAGTTAGATACTGTTTATATTTTACTTTATAATGGAATATCTTGTTTTCTCCATATATGGTGATTGAAGGTTTTCTTGGGTATAGTATTCTGGGTTGGCATTTGTGGTCTTTTGCAGTTTGTAGGACATCTGTCTAGGTCCTTTTGGCTTTTAGAGTCTCCATTTACAAGTCAAGTGTAATTCTAATAGGTCTGCTTTTATATGTTACTTGCTCTTTTTCTCTTGCAGCTTTCAATATTTTTCTTTCTTCTATATGTTTAGTATTTTAATAATGATGTGGCAAGGGAACTTTATTTACTGGTCCCATCTATTTGGTGCCCTGTGTGCTTCTTGTACCTTTATAGGCTTCCCTTTTTTTAGGTTAGGAAAGCTTTCTTCCGTGACTTTGTTGAAAATATTTTCTTGGCCTTCGAACTGGAATTTGCCTCCTATTCCTAATAGTCTTTTCCTAGTGTCGAAGATTTCCTGGATGTTTTGCAGCATGAATTTTTTAGATTTGACATTTTCTTTGGTCTATGTATCTATTTCTTCTATTGTATCTTCTCTTGTCCACCTCATGCTGTTAGTGACGCTTCCCTCTGTAGTTTCTTTTCACTTATCTATATTTTTCATTTCCAGAGTTCCCTCAGTTTGTACTTTTTAAATTGCTTCTATTTCTATCTTCAGGCCTTGAATAGTTTTGTTCACTTCATTCAACTGTTAGTTTTTTTCTTGGCTTTCTGTGATGGATTTATTTATTTCCTCCATTTTTTTTGTCTTTTTCTCACATTCTTTAAGGAATTTATTCACTTTCTCTACAAGAACCTCTATCATAGTCATAAAGTTGGTTTTAAGGTCTTTGATTTTTATTGTGCTTTGACTGTGTTAGAATATTCAGGGCTTGCTGTAGCAGGATAACTGGGCTCTGGTGGTGACATACTACTCTGTCTGTTATTGACTGTGTTCTTGTGCTGGTATCTAGGCATGTGGGTTTGGGGTGATTATAGGTCTAGGTGTCCTTTCTGGGTTTGTTTTTGTTGGACTGGTGTTTTTTTCATTGGTTTCTGTTTCCTCTCTGGTATTCTGTTCTATGAGGACTGTGTTTGAGTAGGGAACTTCTACCCAGTTTGGGGGCTAGAGGTTTTATAGCCTGGTAGCTTCTGATCTAGCAGGGAATCTGCCTGAGTTGGAAGATGGGACATGGCAAGGTGGAGGGGAAGTGGAATGGGAGATAGAGTGGAGGAAGTCTGTGGGTATGTGGTCTACCTGGAAGTCTGGTGGCTAGTATGGCCACTGGTCCAGCAGGAAGACTCTGCCTGAGTTGGGAGCTGAGATACATTGATGAGAAAGGGAGTGGGCTTTGGGGATAACATCAGAGGGGATTGTTGAGAGAGGGGAGCAGGTCAGCAGGTATGCAGCCTACCTGGTCTTCTGGTAGGCATGGCTTGTTGTTCAGCAGGGGTTGTCTGCCTGAGGAAACCAAGGGAATGGAGAAGGCCCACAGAGACTCTAACCTATTTTAGGTGACTAAAATCATGTAGATTTATATATTACAGTCCTAATGAAAACATCTTTGCTAATATAAATGTCTGTACTTGATCCTGATCTGAGGCTAGCATTCTGATCTCCCAGTAAGGGGTTGAAACAAACCACTGAATCTCCCTGAACTTCACCTTTCTCATTTGTAAAGTGGAGAAATCAGTATGTCCTCTGCAGGCTTTTTATAGTTTTAAAATGAAATATGTCAAAATGTCTAGAGTACAGACAGATTTTGGAAATGTGTCCCTCTTCCCTTTCCTCCTGCACACATATCACTCATACACATATTCTTTTCTGATTTAGATCTAGTTGTGCCAGGATGTGGTGAGTGAAGTAAAGCTGAAGATAAAAGCTGAGCAAAGAGCCTGGGTAAAGATTTATTATTCAATTCTGGGGAATAGATTATTTGGATATTTCAGGACAAGAGAAAAATCCCTGCTTTATGCTCCCTATAAAAGAGATGATTCTTGAGCTATATGCTTTATTCTTGGTTCATAAACTTATTTCATAACAGCCAGTGATGATTTGAGGGCTGTTCTGTGGCACATGGGATAGCCACATTTCCTGGAAGAGCATGCTGGGTTTGAACAGCATTGTATTTGGTTCATGCACAGAGAACTACAGGAAAATGTAAAACTGAACAACATTCACAAGAATTCAGGGTGGGATTTACCCATTTAATTTCTCAAGTTTGCCTTTTGTGCTACTGGTCCCTCTAAAGTCATATGGCTTCTGGAATTAGATGGTTGTGAGTCACAATGTGGATGCTGGGACTCACAGGTCTTCTGCAAGAACAAGTGTTCTTAACTTCTGAACTATCTCTACAGATCCAATCATATGGCTTCTATAGAAAACAGACTTATAGCCAACAGGGATGACTCTAAAACCATGTTTATATAATGATATTTCTTATTTTGTTTGAGTGGTCTTCATTAAGGATTCAAAGTTTTTGCTCTTTTTAAAAACTCCTTTGAAGCTCTGACTCCCAATATCATGGCGTTTGGAAGTAGAGCTTCTAGGTGGTAATTAGAGAAGGTGAAGTCGTTAGCGTGAAGCCCTGCCCTGCTCTAATGGGATTCCTGTCCTTGTAAGAAAACACTAGAGCAGTGCTTCTCAAGCTTCCTAATGCTGCAACCCTTTAATACAGTTCCTCATGTTGTGGTGACTCCTAACCATAAAATTATTTCCACTGCTACTTTATGACTATAATTTTGGCACTATTATGAATCATAATATAAATATCTGATGTGAAGGATATTTGATATGCAACCCCTGTGAAAGGATCATTCAACCTCCCAGAGGGTTAATGACCCACAGGTTGAGAACCACTGCTCTAGAGCCTCCTCTGCTTGTTTTTCTGTCTACTTGCCTCATCCCACTCATATGTCTACCAAGAAAAGGGAATGTGAAGAGAATAACAACAACAACAAAAAAAAACACAACAGAACAGAGTTGGCTAGCACCCCAATTTCAGACACCAGTGCTCTTGAACTGCTAGACTTGCATTTCTCTTATTCAAACATACTCATGACATTTTGTTAGGATAGTGCAAGTGGGTCAATTAGAGTGCATAAATTTTCGAACAGTTAAGATGAAAGCACTCAGCCGGGCGTTGGTGGCGCACGCCTTTAATCCCAGCACTCGGGAGGCAGAGGCAGGCGGATCTCTGTGAGTTCGAGGCCAGCCTGGGCTACCAAGTGA